TATTTAATAGAACTTGTTTATTTAAGATTTATTTCTTATTTAAATTAAACTATTGTTGTAACAAAGTTTCTAGATGAAAATAGATAGATAGATAGTTATATACAGTGTCCCCCTAAAGTCGTGCACAAATTCATTATTAGGCAAACAAAAGAAATTATTAAAAATTCCTGAAACAGGTCGATTTTTGAATTTAATTTACTATTTTTTCAAATAATAATTTAATATAGAGGGTGACCTATGTTCAAGTAATGACGTCATTACAATTTTTTTTTAAATCAAACACCCCACTTTTTTCCAATTTTCGGATTGCCCTAACTGAGCTGATTCCAAAAATATACCACAAGTTGCTTTTAATTGTTACAGGGAGAACAACAATACCCAAATTATTTACAAAAACTAAATTTATTTAAAAAAGGAGATCATGAGATATGGAATCAAAGGCCTTGCTAAGATCACGTAGAGTAAGCCCAACCAGCTCTTCCCTCTCAAGTCTCTACCACGCAATTCACAACTTGGGAAATGGCATACACTGTCGAAAGACCTTCTTTAAAGCCAAATTGACAACTGCCCAATAACTTGTTCGAAATAAAGTAATTTGTCAAACACTTCTTAATTATTATTTCAAATATTTTACCAAAAAATGGTATGACCGAGATGGGACGATAGTTATTGGGAAAAGTTACATCACCTTTTTTAAAAATAGGAACCACTTTAGAGATTTTCAAAATATTAGGGAAAATGTTAGCTGATATGCACTTATTATAAATAACTGTCAAAGGTCTTATAAGTAAATCGGCAAATTCTTTGATGAAAAAGCTAGAAATGTCATAATCATCGAAAATAGGAAATAATGGCATGGAAACTATTATTTTGAGTCCTTTTTTTTCCAAAATAAAAGTCTCTTTTAACTAGTCAGCTGAATAAAATGATCGTTAATTAATTATATACAATCATTATTAATTAATTAATTAGGTAACTTATTAGTTCTTTATTGATAATTATGTTCTTACCGTTGTGAAGCCAGCTGACTTGCGACACAGGATACCCATTGACTATACACTGGAAGCCGGCGTCCTTCCCGATGTCCACCACTTGGACTTGGGGCTGGATGTGTGCCGTCAGAGGAGCGGTTATTTCAAGGGTGACTCGCACGCTTTCCTCCCCGGCCGAGTTGTTAGCGAAGCACACGTATACTCCCCTGTCTTCCAGCCGAACCTGAAATTAGTTTCTTTCTAAGAGCCTTAATTTATTAATAACTAGCGGAATCTATTATTCATACTTTTGAAGTTTCTATTTGATTCAATATTTAATAAGGCAAAAGAGGGTAGTTCTCATAGGGGGTTGTTACTTTAAGAATATGAGTTGACTAATGGATTAGTTAATACACAGGTACACAAAAAAGAAAATTCGTTTGTTTCAAAGGCTTCGTATCCTTACGTATTTTTTTTACGTCTTGAAAAACCACTCTTAAGTACAGAAAATACGAAATATCTTGCTTTGGGAGGGACCATATTTATAGGCGCTGAATCCGAATCCGTGAAAAATTGCACCCATCACCCCCAGATTTTATTTGGCTTAAAAACCACCCTTAAGAAATGGAGAGAGAATAGAAAGGAGAATAGAAGTTACTGCAGGACCATATCTATACGTATTTTGACGTTCTGAAGCCGAATCCGAAATCGGAATCACTCTTATCACCCTCCAGTATTTTTATACCGTTCNAAATGCAATCAAAGGCCTTGCTAAGATCACATAGGGTAAGCCCAACCAGCTCTCCCCTCTCAAGTCTCTACCACGCAATTCACAACTTGGGAAATGGCATGCACTGTCGAAAGACCTTCTCTAAAGCCAAATTGACAACTGCCCAATAACTTGTTCGAAATAATGTAATTTGTCAAACACTTCTTAATCATTATTTCAAATATTTTACCAAAAAATGGTATGACCGAGATGGGACGATAGTTAATGGGAAAAATTACATCACCTTTTTGAAAAATAGGAACCTCTTTAGAGATTTTAATAATATTTGCGAAAATGCCACTTATTATAAATAACTGCCAAAGGTCTTACAAGTAAATCGGTAAATTCTTTGATGAAAAAACTAGAGATGTCATAAACATCGAAAATAGGAAATAATGGTATGGAAACTTTTATTTTGAGTCCTTTTTTTCCAAAATAAAAGTATCTTTTAACTAGTCAGCTAATTAAAATGATAGTTGATCACTACATATTATAAAACAAAGTCCTCCGCCGCGTCTGTCTGTATGTCTGTCTGTTCGCGATAAACTCAAAAACTATTGCACCGATTTTCATGCTGTTTTCACCAATGGATAGAGTGGTTCTCGAAGAAGGTTTTAATATATAATTTGTTAAGTTTTTGTATACATTAACGATATTTGTTGGAGGTGTCGGAAAAAAATAAGCCGTCTGGGAGCTTTTAACAAAAACGCTGCCTAAACCCTTTGAGATATAACAAAATAATGTATGGTGGAATTGTGTATCTTATATAGGTCTACAGAAAAGTCCGCGATGGCATATGCCTATATATTGAAGAAAACATACTACCTATATCCATTTTAATACTTAAAAAAAATGGCAATTATAAAGCGGTAATGTAAAAGCTATTTACACAAATACGGTATTAATCCTTATCATTTTAAATAAGTTAGAGGCTTTAAGCATTTCATGCACATTATTTTACTCTTTTACATCATATAATTTAAATGAATATCTTAGGAGTAATCGCAAAAAAATTACGGACGCGAGAATAAAATTCAAGCGCCTCGCTTCGCTTGATGCGATCGCCGAGCCTCCCCCCGCACCGTCTTGCCTACTGTTTAACTAATAAGCCGAACGATAACGCAAGCGTGATCCTTTAATAAACTGACTTGGAGTGAATGGAGGTGACGACTGACGACTGTCTTTTCTTTCTGGGTGTTGTTGGAAGGATATAATTGGGTTCAATATTTTAAGGTCACATTTTTGTTTTGTATTTGTTGTCTTTAGGTAGTCGGAACATACATAGATACTTGCAAACATACTTTTATTTCATTGAGTTTTAATAATTTGTTTGTTTTTTTCTTATTGTGAATCATTTAAAACTTCATAGTCGCATTTTTGTTTCGTGTTTGTTTTCTTTAGGTAGTTAGATACCTAACTACTTACTTATTAATTAAAATTGATAGTCCTGAACATAGGTACTTTAATTTAATTCGTTTTGTTTTCACATTGNTATTAGGGAAAATGCCAGCTGATATGCACTTATTATAAATAACTGTCAAAGGTCTTATAAGTAAATCGGCAAATTCTTTGATGAAAAAGCTAGAAATGTCATAATCATCGAAAATAGGAAATAATGGCATGGAAACTATTATTTTGAGTCCTTTTTTTTCCAAAATAAAAGTCTCTTTTAACTAGTCAGCTGAATAAAATGATCGTTAATTAATTATATACAATCATTATTAATTAATTAATTAGGTAACTTATTAGTTCTTTATTGATAATTATGTTCTTACCGTTGTGAAGCCAGCTGACTTGCGACACAGGATACCCATTGACTATACACTGGAAGCCGGCGTCCTTCCCGATGTCCACCACTTGGACTTGGGGCTGGATGTGTGCCGTCAGAGGAGCGGTTATTTCAAGGGTGACTCGCACGCTTTCCTCCCCGGCCGAGTTGTTAGCGAAGCACACGTATACTCCCCTGTCTTCCAGCCGAACCTGAAATTAGTTTCTTCCTAACAGCCTTAATTTATTAATAACTAGCAGAATCTATTATTAATACTTTTGAAGTTTCTATTTCATTCAATATTCAATAAGGCAAAAGAGGATAGTTCTCATAGGGGGTTGTTACTTTAAGAATATGAGTTGACTAATAGATTAGTTAATACACAGGTATACAAAAAAGAAAATTCGTTTGTTTCAAAGGCTTCGTATCCTTACGTATTTTTTTTACGTCTTGAAAAACCACTCTTAAGTACAGAAAATACGAAATATCTTGCTTTGGGGGGGGACCATATTTATAGGCGCTGAATCCGAATCCGAATGAAAAATTGCACCCATCACCCCCAGATTATATTTGGCTTAAAAACCACCCTTAAGAAATGGAGAGAGAATAGAAAGGAGAATAGAAGTTACTGCAGGACCATATCTATACGTATTTTGACGTTCTGAAGCCGAATCCGAAATCGGAATCACTCTTATCACCCTCCAGTATTTTTATACCGTTTAAAATAACCCGAAAATCTGGGAAATTCCTTCCAAGAGATAGATAGATAGAATACAGAAAATGCAATTTCAGGTTCATGAGACAACCCAACTGTTCCAAGTTTTCCAACAATTCCTCAACTAAATTCTAGTAATCCTCACTCATTTGATTCCCCAAAAAATTTTGAGCGAAAGTATCATTCATTGCTGTGATCAATTTTTTGTCTCTAAACATGTTTCAGTCGAAATGGTATACGTAACGTCCACAACACTATCGAAAATCCACACGAAATACGTCGTGGTGCCTTCAACAGCAATAGTTTTAAGTGAACATGTGTGCTGGTATCCTTAATGACACTTTAATAGGACCCTTTGAATTGCCTAGACACTTAGACGGTGCTTCATATCCAGATTTGTTGCAAAATCGCTTGCCGGAGTTATTGGAAGATGCAAAATAATAAATCATTGCCTGTCAAGGGATCCAGTGCAATACGCTTTTAAGGGTTTTAGAAATTGAATAATTTTTTTATACATTATGGAGGCACCTTACAAAAATTCCTTTATTCTCATAAACTATTTATTTTAAATGTAATTTATTATAAATCCAATTTGTTTTTCAAATTCCACATATGTACTACATTTTTCCTTTGATTTACGACCAAGCTCGCCAGTATTTAACGTATAACCGATTTCGTACACTCGATGCATCTGGGCGACTACAGCTACTGCCAAAACACAGTGCGTATGCAACGGTATTTCAGATTTTACATTCAATTTCATTCTAAATTTGAAATGGTTCATCTTACGCCACTTAAAAGTGATGACACGATTTTCCTTTGATAAAAGACCGACAACTGTTTGCTCTACTTTGCATCTAATACGATTCTACTATAATTAGATGCCCCCCCAGTCCCCGGACCTCACCCCTTTAGACTTCTTTTTGTGGTGATATGTGAAAAGTGTTGTGTATTCTACGGAAGTTCGTGACATCGATCAATTGCGACATCGTATTGCCGAAGCTTGTAATACGATTCGAGAGAACGTGGCAATGTTGTAACGCGTGCGAGCGAATTGGATACGTCGCGCTGAAGCTTGTGCGCAAGCAAATGGTGGGTATATTGAACATCTTCTATGAAAATCAGCAGTTCTTCAAGGTGGCTCCTTGCAATGTTGAGGTAAGTCAGATTTTAAAATTACATTTTACTCAACACAAATCCGTGTATTTGACCTCATAATGACATAACTGACATGTTACAAAAATAATTGACATAAGTTCATTAATACCCAGTTTAGGTAAAAGAGGATATAGTTAATTTAATTATAGACGACATGACGAAAAGAAGGAGACCTAGCGCCATGGTACTGAACCCATATAGTCTCCAATAAAATGTATATAGTGCAAAATTGAGACTTTTGTTCCCTTGCCTTTCCTCACCGAAGAATCTGAGGAAGCAGCAGGAACATTACACATTCAACCCCAGATGGAAATCTGTTTTTGGCGGCTATACTTTCTGTCTCTACTATCCTGTAGATATAAGAGATCGGGATTTTTTGTGAATCCCGTCTAAGAATCAGTTTTAAAATCTTAGATCGCCGCAAACTTTTAAATAGTTGGCAAAACTCATCAATAAGGAACAAGCAGTTTATACCCTAGACCAGGGGCTGGCAAACCGCGGCTCGCGAGCCGCATGCGGCTCTTTCAAGAGACAATTGCGGCTCTTCAAGTTCCTCTAAAAATTAAAAGTTAAAGCGGACAGACAAGCAGCACACGAGTACACATAAAGACGCGTATAAACTTCCGTATCCGATTTAAATTTGAAATAAAATGTAAAAGCAGAAATAAAAATTCGTGGCT